GGAGAAATCGATTCTGAATTAAAAATAAATACTAATTATATTTTAGTTGGTGATAAAAATATTAACAAAGAATCATTTGAAAAAGCTTATTATTTCAATACAAAAATTTTATATGAAAAAGATTTTATGTAAAATATTAAAATCTAATCTTAATATAAACGAAAAGAAAGTAATTAAAATAAAGTTTAAGAAATATTAAAACCTTAATAATAATAATTTAATTAATAAAAATAAGAAAATTAGTAATATTAATAATGGTCAGATTTATATTCACCTTATGATTTAAAAGATTTTATTGGTAATGAAAGTTAAGCTTAAAAACTAGAAGTATTTATCTAAACTAATTTGGAAATTAATAAAAGTACCTCTGAGATTTCTAAAGGATGTCTGATTTCAGGTCCTAGTGGAGTTGGTAAAAGCTTGATAATAAAACTTCTTTGTAAAAAATATGAATTGGAATTAGTTTAATTTAATAATTTATAAATGAATAAAATTTTTAATGAAATTTAAGTTAAAGGAAAGAATATAAGTATATGGAAAAAAAGAATAATTTTTTTAATTGACGATATAGAAATTTTCGAGAAGGAAAAAATAAAAGAAATAGTTGAATTTATAAAAAAATCATAAAATATACTAATATGTGTTTGTAATAATAAATATTAAGAAAAGTTTAATTAATTAAGATAAATTTGCGTAAATATAATTTTTTATAAAATTCATAAAGAAAAAGTATTAATGAGAATATAATAAGTATGCAAAATTGAAAATATGAGTTCCTTTTTTTAAAAAAATGAGGTTATTATTGAATAATTAATTGAAAACTCGAATTTTGATTTAAGATTATGTTTAAATTAATTTTAGATTTTAAATTAAATTTATAAAAATAGTTAAGCTTTTTAAATTAAAAGTATACTTGATTTCTAAAAAAATGAATTCTTAAGTCCTTTTGAATGTGTAAAGAAGATTGTGAATTAAGAAAGTAAAAAAAAATTGACTTTTTAATAAAAATAAGACCTTTATTTATATTATCCTTCTATTGTTTTTTAAATATTACATTAAAATTATGTTTATTTTATTGAAAATAATATTAATAGTTTAGTTAGGATTTCATAGTCTTTTGCTTTTTTTGATATTTTTAATAATTTTAATCATTCTTATTAAAATTTTTGGCTAGAAGATGATTAGGGGTTTCTTATTTCTGATTTTATTCCTAATTTTATGTGTAATAATATTTATTAGTAGTTAAGCATGGAAAATAATTATAATAGTTATTTTATTTAAAAGAAAAAGTTTATTAAATAAAAACTTAGAGGAATCTGTGATTATTAAAGTTTTGAATTTTTCAAAAATATTTTTTTAAATTTGGAAAATAAAGATCAAATTATTAAGTAGTTTTTTTTAGAAAAAGATGTTTTAAATTCTTTAATAAAATAATGATTTTATATAAAATATTTTTACAACTAAAATACAAATTTTAATTTTACCTATTAAAATTACTTAAAATGTATAAAAAATAATCTTAATATTAGTATTATATATCAATATAATATATGATAATTTTATATTTATGTAAAAATTGATTTAGTATTTATAAAAAAATATATTTTTTTTATTTATAAATTAAAACTTATCTAAATTAATATAAATATATATTTATTTTTTAATATATATATACTTATTTTTATTATAAATTATATGCAAATTTTTTTTTTAAATAAATAAAAAAAAAAAAAAAACGAAAACAAAATCAAAAACAAAAACAAAAACAAATAATAAAAACAAAAACAAATAATAAAAATAATACTATAATATTAAAAAAAAAAAAAGCTTAAATAATAATATTTTCATCATATAAAAATATATATAAATAAAATATGTATTAATATCAAGACCATCCAGAATATAGAAGATCATAATAATTATATAGTACAAGCTAAAATGAATTAATGAATTAATTTTAATAAAAAGAAAGAAATACAGTAGATTTAGACAATATAATGAAAAAATATTAAAGTAAAAATAAATAAAAAATAAAATAAAATAATATATAACAAAAAAAGTAAATAATTAAAAACCATTATTAGCTTAAGTATATTCTCAAAATAAATAAACATAATAATAATATCCTTAATTATTATAAAATACATAAGAAATATAAAGCAAGTAACCAATTCCTAATAATTATGAAAAATTTTATAAATTTGAAAAATTAGATTTAAATAATGTAAATATATCAAATAATACGAAACAATCACAATAATAATAATTTATTTAAAACTTTTCTAATTAAAAACCTTAATAACAATAGGTTTAGTAAATAATATAGCCTTCATAAATATAATAGTAGTAAATATAGTAAAAATAATAATAATAATAATATTAATAACCTTAATAGTAATAAAAATAACTAAAATTAATAATAAATCAAGTATAACTGCCTTAATAAATTTAATAAATAGGAATAAATAATGAAAAAGAAGAAAAGATATTCGATAGTGATGATGAAGATTTGACAAAAAATGAAGTTTAAGAATTAAGAATTAACCAAATGCATGCTGAAGTAAGTGTATTAAATGATTAAGTACATAAATTATTGGCAAATTATTAAAAATAACTATAAAATAATAGAGATAAAAATTAAGTAAAATAGTAAGTGAAATAAGACGCAAAGCTTCTTTAATAAGGGTTTAAGGAAATTATAAATAAATTTGAAGATTTGTCTTGTATAGATATTTCTAATATATCTATGCATTCTAAAAGTAATATAAGTATAACAGGAACTTATTCATTTTTCTTAAAAGGAGAATCTAAAAAATAATAAGAAATTAATATAATGATGAATCTTGTGGAGTAGTTTTTAACGAAATTCGATGAAGATTCAGTAATAGAATAATAAAATTAACTTTCATAATAAATATAATAATAATAATAATAATAATAATAATAATAATAATAATAATAATAATATTAATAATAATCATTTTAATAATAATCATTTTAATAATAATAATCCTAATAATAATAAAATAATAATAATAATTAAATATTTCACTCTTAATAAAAAATTAAATGTGAAAATTTGTAAGAATTATCAAATTTTAATTATTCTCAGAAAGCAAATTGTTAACAAAATAATTTATAAGCAATTGAAATATTAGAAAATCTCGAAAATTTAGATTTATATTGTGGAAATTGTGACTTATATTTTAAAAACAATACTTTTTTTGAACATGTTAAATAGTGTGATAAAAATCATTTTTCATAATTAAATGCAGATGAATCTTTTTATAATTTGGAACAAACTAGTAATGTTATGTAAAATTTAGATAAAAAACTATTCAAAATTAGTGAAAATTTTAAAAATACGCTTGCGCTTTAAAAATTACCTTAAACTTAAGAAGTTTTAAAAGAAACAATTTGTGATTTGGGGGAAGTATTAAAATTTTAAAATGGATAAACAACTAAAAATATTATAAGGAAATTAGAAAAAAATTATAAGAAATGGACGTTAATGATAAAAAAGCGTCTTACAAACTGTATTTGTATTTAAAAAGAGTAACTAATTTATTAAGGGAAAAAGAAACTGCTTAGTAGTAAATTACTGTCTTATAAGAAATTAGTTTTATGTATAATTCTAATTTGAATGAATTAAATAATAAAAATAAATAAATACTTTAGTAAAATTAGCCTAATATTAATAGATTTAATGATATTTCTATTATTAATTAAAAACCTAATGTTAACAATAATACTAATCCTAGTATTAATTCTACTGCTACTGGTACTTTTGGTACTCTTTCTAATGGTGGATTTGGAATGATTTTATAGAATAATTAAGTATCTAATAATTACGGAAGTAATAACAATAATAATAATTACGGAGGTAATAATAATAATAATAATTTACTTAATTTAAATAATTATGGTACAAACAACACTTTTAATAATAGTAATAACACTTTTAATAATACAAATAATAATTTTAATAATAATAATAATAATAATAATAATAATAATATTGGAAATATAAATTGTAATTTTGCTAATAATAATAATTTTGGAAATACTGGTGGTGTTTTTGTGAATAATTAAATTGGTATTAGTAATTTATATTCTAATAAAAATAATATTTAAAATGCTTAATAAGAATTGGAAGAAAAAAGCAAGTTTTATGATATTGTTAGTGAAATTAAAAATAAATTACCAGCTAGTCATATTGGTAATTCGATTCTTATTTCTGAACTATATTAATAAGCTAAAAATATGCCAAAGGCTTAATGGTTATCTTTTATTCATTCAAAGTTTAAAATATGAAATTTTTTTTATTTATGAAATGTATAATTTTAAAAAAAAAAATTCATATATTTTTATTTCTTTTATATTATAGTTATTTCATATATATTTTTTTTATAAAAAATATATATATATTTTTTTAAATTGTGAATATTTATTTATTTTAATTTTATATTCAATTAAATTTTCAAATATTACATTAATTTTTTATTATATAAAATTGTAATCTAAAATATTTATATTTTATAATTTTTTTAAAAAAATATATGTTTTTAAAATTTTATTTTACGTGTATTTGAAATAAAATTTAAATTGATTTTAATAAATTAAAATTTATTTTAGTAATAAATGAAAATAAAAAAATTATAAATAATATAAAATAATTATAATTAATATAAATAATAAATATATATATAAAATTAAAATTATTTTAATATTATATAAATATATTATTAAAATAAAGAAAATTTAAAATAAATTATTAAAAAAATTAAATATATATTTATTTATATTCATAATTATATTTAATAATATATATTAATATTATTTAAGTTAATAATTATATATTTTACATTTTACTTAATTTTAAATTTATATACAATCATTTACAAAAAATTTAAAAAATAAATAAATATAATAAATTAACATAATAATAATTTCATAATAAATATTTTATATCTTATTTATTTTACTAATTCAAAAAATAATCATCTTAAATCACTGATATCATTTACAAGTATACTTTTTTATTATAATTAATCGTTAATAGAAGGAAAAACATTCCAAAATCTTAAAGTTTCATCTCCAGCTCCTGTAACAATTGTCTATCCATCTGGACTCATAGCCAAGAATAAAACTCTTGATGTATGTCCTGTTAATTCTGCGACTTTTTACATGGATGGATATTTCCATACTATAATTTAATTCTAAGAATATCCATGTGTACTAACTATTTCATTAACACTTTTACCAAACATAAGATTACAAACTTATGATTAAGTATCTATGAAATCTAATTATTTATTAGTAGAAGTATTCCAAAATCTAATACATCTATCTTATGTGCCTCCTCCTGATGCTAATAAATCTTAAAATAGATAAATTTTAATATATATATAAATATAAATATACATATATATATATATATATATATATATATATATATATTTACTATGTTAATGAGATGACCAAGCTATAGCTTTGACAGCAGCTTGATGTTCGTAGAATTTACAAACAGGTTCTTATGAATGATTATTCCAGACATTTAATTTATTATCATTACCTCCTGAAGCTAATAGTTGTTCATCAAAACTCCATTTTAAACCACATATTTCTTATTTATGTTCTTTTAATTTTTTATAATAATGATTTTTATCTCTTAGGTCTCTCATTAATATATTTTTATCTCTAGAACCTGTAGATAATGTTCCTTAAGACCAAGCTATAGAACCTACTCTTCCCTAATGTCCTTTTAGAGTCCTTATGTTTTAAATCTCACCAGCATCCCAAACTTATGTTTCTCCTTTGGAAGTTCCTATACATAATTAATGACCCTTAGGGTGCCAATTAACACTTGCAACGGAATCATTGGATCCTAAATCGCAAAACTTTACCACTATATTGCTGTTTGCCTTCCATAAATAAACACAAGGACCAAGTGCAACTGCAAGGACATTCGTTAAAGACCAATCTACTAAATTTAGGTAGAAATCGTCTTGTAAGGAAGGTGCGTCTAGTACTTTGAAAGGGATTTTTGATATATTTCGAAGGTTTTTTTTCTTTTTGAGGTCCATTTAAAGATTATCATAAATTAAGTAGTTATTTTGGATTTCTTGTTGGAGTTTTTGGGAAGGGTTTATAGGTGAATTTTATTTATAACTAAAAATATTTTAATTATTTCCTTAATGATAGTTTTCTTCGTATTTATTAGTTTGGCGTAATTATAAAACATGTTTTTTATATAATTCGTCAATTGATATTTAATATTATTTATCCAAAAATTGGCCTTTTAAGCCATTTTTATGAGAAAAAATGTTTGTGTTTTCCTTTACGTCGTGTAAGTCGGTAAATGCAATTGTTAATTTGGAAGTTTTTCTAGAAGGTATGTATCGATCGGATTTCTTAGTGTCGGATTTTTTTTGGGTGAATTGTTTTTTAATTTTGGTAGTTTCGTCTATGCTTTATTCTTATAAAGTTTAATTTTTTTAGAATTTTAAGTCTTAATTTATATTTGTTTATGAATTATAGCTTTTATTTTTTTTTTATTTATTTTTATATTTTTAATGGTTTTTATTTTTTTACTTGCTTATATGTTTTAGGGAAGGTATTGTACTTTATAAACAATTGTATTTACTTGAAGAAATTAATGTTGTAGTGTCATCGTGTATATATGATAATGATGGGTTATAATTGATTTAAGAATATTGCTTGTTTGTGTTTTAGGATATTAGGGAATAATTATCTAATTTTTTTAAAGGCTCTTATTCAGTTTGGAAGTTTTCGAAAGTTGATTTTTCTAGTTTATGTCTTTGTGTATAGTTCATTTTTTTTATTATTAATATATTAGTATTTTTTTTTGTTTAATAGGTAGAAATAATAAATATTATTTATTTTTTTATTAAGAAATTATATTTTTTTTATTTTTAAAATTAAAAATTTTATTAGAAATAATTTATAAACACAAATAAAATTTATTTTAATAAGTAAATATATTAAATTTATTATTTAATTATATTAATAAAAATAATAAAAATATTATTTATTAAATTATTATTATTTATTGCAAAATATTTTGATATAAAATAATATTATTATTATTTTTTAATGTTTTTTTTTATCTTTTTAATTGAATATCTACTTTTAATTTCTTTATATTTTAAAATATATTATTTCTTAGGTAGGTATAAAATTTTAAATATATACTACAATTGCTTTTATTTAATTCAAAATACTAACAAATGGATTTTAAAATCGAAACTAATTTTAAATATTGTCAGCCTTTATTTTAAAATAATTATAAAATAAAAAAAATATAATGTAACAAAAGTATTTAAAAATCATATACTTTTTTTAATGTTAATATTTTAACTGAAATGTTTATTTATGATTATTGAGATTTCATTTTTATTTATATTTTTTAGAAATCAAATTTATATTAATATTATTATTAATTACTACATTTAATTAAATACTTATGTGTAAAATATACATAATCATTATTATATTATATATTTACTACCTTGTATAATATAAAATTTGAAAATTGAAATATAAAAATATATTTAAGTTTTGTTATTTTATAAATAAATATAAATATTAATATTTATCAATATCTGGATAAAGTATTATAAAAAAGTATAGAATTTAATAGTTTAATTATTAAAAACATTATGAATTATTACTTATATATAAACAATTTTAACTTACTTTTTTTTATTTGTAAAAAAAATTTCTTTTTAAGATGAAAAAAGAATTTAGAAAATAAAAAGTTACTGTAAATAAAGTTTTATATACATTAAAAACCTATTTATATTATTAGCATTTATTCAATATATAAATAAAAATGAATTAGTAACTTTATAATATATATTATTAATAAAATAATTATTACTTTTTGTAAAATAAAAATAAAATGATAAATTAAAAAGATTAAGAAGATCATGTTTATAATTAATATATAATACTTAACAAAAATTGTGCAATATTTCAATAAAATTAAATAAAAAAAATATAAATAAAAGATTTATAATAATATATAAAATATAAAATAAAATATATATATAAAAATAAACATATGTATATGTATATTTAAATATATATATATATATATATATATATATATATATATATATATATATATATAATCTTATATATATAAAAAGCAAATTATA